CATTCCTACTTTTGGTTCACACTGAGTTATTTTATCAACCGGCAGCCTTTCATATTTCTATGAAATTAATGCCAAAAAATGGATAATTTCACCGAATTGGAATTTAGCTGGAAAATAACAACAAGCTCCATAGTAGTTTTCTGAAGCGTTTTTTTAGAAAATTGTTTCAGTTCGCAATTCTGGCAACGAATTCAACAGTCTTTTTGGCAAATCTTCAGTGAAGCAACTCTATGAAGCATTTGCTGTGGGACCTGATGCAGTACAAAATACCGGGGTCGCCGTTAGTGATGACGACGATGATAACGATGGTGGTGGTGGTGAAAAGAAGGCAGACAGCGATAGTGATTCATTGCCTCCAACACCGCCTCCTGTAGGAATTTTGATAAATGCAAGCGAGGAAAGAGAGGTAGAGAGAATTTATGAAGTTCGTCAATCGCCTAGCAAGAAGCGAAAATTGAAGTTTTGAAAAGAAAGCTTTCTGCGCAGTTCACTATGCAAAGATTTTTCGACTGTAAAACTATTAGGTCGGAAGATCGTCTGTAGGTTGGATTAGTGTGCGTGCCTCTTGTGTGCCTGCGCATATGTTTGAGTGTGTAAATATAAAAACACCTAATTATATACACTCATATATTTATTTAAAATTCTACACACAAACTAAGGTTACAGACCATTGGAAATAGAGGTAATAATGAAAAATGAGATGGCAAGGTTGTGGGAGCTCCGGCTGCCCAGAACAGGGTTGGGTAGTAAAGGACAACTCTCGATGCTTTTATAGGTCACGAAGACAGCAATACTCTAGCGGGAGTAGAGTATCCAAAGACTGAACCAAAGACCAGGGGTTTTGCATCATAGTGATGCAATTACTCCTTAGTTTAAAAAAAAACTCATAAATCATTATCTGAAATATTATGTGACACAGCACCGAAACAGCGTGCGCGAGACCGGGAGTTGCACTGCGGCCCGTAAGAAACACGTTGGGAACGAGTTGCGGAATTTCGCGAGGGGGGCGAGTGCAACCGAGTGCTGTATGGGAGTGGTACCCCATTCGATGCGGAGTAGGATTTCGACTGTATTTGTAATTTGTTGGTAAAGTTGTGTTGGTTCGCCCAGAGTCTCCAAAAGACATAGCTAGTGTCGGCGTCGTCCAGCTTCGTCTGTCTTCACGCCAAAATCATCGTCATTCAAGCTACGTGTGACATGGGAGCTGGGCTGGTGACCCACAGTTGCGAAGCGCTTCAAGAGAGCAAAAAGGCAAGGTGAAGTCGACGATAGTTCGGCAACAGAAGAGCCCGAGAGTCGGGCAGGCAGAAGAATGAGGGATTTGAAAACAGCACTGAAGCTGCTGGCGCGGGACCTGCAGTTACACTGTGGCCCGCAAGTAAGGCAATGGACATGAGTCGCGAAGGCTCGAGAGGGGACGCGCGCGACAGAACAATGAGTAGGGCTGGTACACTATTCGATGTGCTGTGTTGGGCCTGGCTGCATTAATTTCCCTGTGCAGTGCTACTTTATTAATTTCTGGACCGTCCAGTTTTGTTGTGTATATCGGACACAGCTCGCGCGAAACTTAAATCACGTTAATAACAAAATATATAAATCAACACAAAAAAAACAAGGGAGCAGGCAGGGCATCGCGATCACAGCGCAGCCAAAGAACGAAGCAGGGGGGACGCTGACCATGCAACGCTGGGGACGATCGTTGGGCCAGCAGTGCACTTACTGTGCGCTGGGGGAGTGTAGAATATGCGGTTCTAATTATAAAATTATATATTTTTTTCGCTTTTTTAAGGCAGTGACTCAGGGATGCGGTTGCATTCCTGCGTGTTTACAATCTTGCTTCATTTTTGTCCTACCCTTTTTTCATACCCACAAAAACCTTTCGTTCTTTATTTATCTTCTTTCTTCTTTTGGCCCCTACCCCCATTTCCTTTTCCTTTGTCACCTCCTTTTATCTCTCTTCCTTAAATTCCCAAAATTCCTTCCAAATCGTTGCCTCATATCGCAGGACGGGCCATTACTCCTTTTATAACCATCCTTATCTTTCCTCAGAGCCTTAGCTTCTTAAATCGCTCTCACCTTCTTCAACTAGCTTCAGCTTCATCAGCTCCGCTCGCCAGCTACGTATCCCGCCGACCCAATCTACGATCACAACTGGGACTCGGATCTCTTCGTCTCGAAGCCAAAATTATTCGACTTCGGAAGCCTCTGCTAAATCCCCTGCCTCGCAGGCTATCTCGCTCACCAGAGCACAAGCGTCACGCTTTGTGTTATTATTGCCATTGTCTGTGTCGTAACAAGTAAGACATAAAACTTTTCATTTCCTTAATTGGCCCTCTAGTCTACGCACCACGCCACACAGTGATCCACACACGTAAACAACCCATCACATAAAAATTTCTACTAGGGGCACACTGCCGTCCCCTGAGCGGTGCGTCAATAATACTGAAGACAAAAGATACGCGTCACAGTGGGCAGAGAAACAGATCACTGATACCTCCCGCCAGCTTGGGAGTTGCACATCACAGTTTTGATGTTTCAAAGCTGCGGCTCGCCCTTACCACAGATGACAACTTCGAAACGACGTGGTTGATGAGGACAAGTGGATGCTGTGAGGTAGGGATGTGCGCTAGAAAATTTCAGCACTAGTCTGTGGTCTTATGTCGCAATGAGAAAAAAAAAAGAAATAATCAGGTAAATAAGTGAACCTCACAGTGGGAATGAAGTAATTGCAGAATGGCAAGAGCAACGGCATATTACGAACTTGTTAATTTTTATAACATTGTTGCGAAGTATTATGAATTCTTCATTAGTCTTGTAGCATCGGGTTGCCTAATTGTAAGAAAATTTTTAAGCCACCGGCCAAGAACTCGCAAAGAAAACCTTTGCTGGCCGGTCAAGCATGTGTCCGGGAATCGCAAAGGAAGCCTTTGCTGGCCGGTCAAGCATGTGTCCGGGAATCGCAAAGGAAACCTTTGCTGGCCGGTCAGGCATGTGGTATGCATAAAATTTTTTTCGAAACTCAGGGTGGGCAGTTACTAAAACTCGGCTTGGCCGTTACTCTGCATCTTTGCTGATGCTGTTTTGCGGCGAGTTTCGTCGAAGTCGCCTGGCACTTTGCCAGGTGTACTGGGTAGCGATACCCGGCGTTCGGCAGTTGGACAGCATGCCTCCATGAGTGGCTTAAGCTTGCAGTTAAACTTTCTTTTGATGCGGAAAAATTTACGCTACTCTGCTCATTATTCATTGTAATGAATAACGAGCGGGAAAAAAAAAAACATTAGTTGCACCCAGAGCCGGATAATTCGACAGTCGCAGCGTCAGAGCTGAGCGGGCCGCGCAGCTCG